CTTGGACTCTGTTGCACGGTACTCCCATTCCAAGACTCTACCGTGACATTTTACCTATCAATCTATCAAACACCTAGGGGTTTACGTTATTAGCTGATTAAAAAAAAAAAAAATACCACCGTTAGCTTAGCTAATTCTGAAATCGGTTTTTCGATTCTACTTAGGTATTTTGGTGCAAAAAACCTCTGGTCCCTAACTAAGTATGAGATAGGTATAGTTCGCACTGACGAGTTCCCAGTGCCAAAAGTAATGATGTTGCGGAGAAAAAAACACAGGTGGATTGAGCGGACGCATAGAAACAACGTCAAGTTTCTAGATACATAGTGCATTCCCGAATTCATCTGAAACACTCGTAATATGCCATTTTTCGAACTCTTAAGCTTATATCTTTAGGAGAGGTAGTCTGATTGCCTTCGAATTTGGTGGTTTGCTGGGGACATATGACATGCATCGCCCTAGGTGACCCTTCACGTGCACACCCCACTTATATACTCATCCCGAAAACAGCCGTATGCCAGTCACGTGCCTCAGTCGGTGGCGTTGGACTCCGTGTGCCGAGAGCACACATCCCTGTTAAAAAAGGTTGGGTTCGAAACGCGACGGGCGCTCGTTGTTTATGGACCTCCTGACGGGTATGGTGACGGTTAGTGGCAGAACGTTGCCAGTCGAATGAGGGGATCGGCCGTGCGCGGCATTTTGTGCACGTTAAACTTTGGGTCCAAATTCTCAAGACACGGCATTGCACGATCGGAGGGTGCAGGGCAGATTCAACGCAACAAGCTCCGCTTAGCGGGGGCTCTGTCCTTGATAATCCTTCCATTCAAGGGATTCGGATCAAATTAAGAATAACAAAACAAGGGATTCAATGCAAATAAGACTGTAAATGCAAACAACAAACGACTTCAACCAGTTCATAAGCGTAACTTTATATCTCTTTGTGGGTGCTCAAGCACCCCCAATCCTGAGCTCAGCACCCCCTGCCTTCTTAAAGCACCCCCAGCCTCCTCAAAACATTCCCAGCTGACTCAAGGCCCTCAATAATCAGAATGTCCATCTCCTAGTACTGTAATGAGCCCAGTGAATCATGCAAATAGGTACTATGCTTACTCAATTCAGTGACTAAGAGAATATACATTGAATAAATCACCACAAATTAAGATACATGATATTTGTGTTAACATTACATCTGATATTATCAGGGGCCCGTGAACGATTTTCAAGTTGGGGGGGGGGGGGGGGTGAGCCTAAAATACCTGACATGATGCATATAAAACAGTGGCATAGCTAGGGGTGTAAGGGGACACGTTTCCCCTCCCCCCATCGGGTTCAAAGGGACGCTTGGGTCCGAGAGGCCCTGCGGCGCCATTTGACCGCTGAGGGTTAACGATGGCCATATTTCTACTCAGAAGGGCCCCGTGGGGCTCTTTAGAGCACCTCATGGGCCCTAAATAGCCACACTAAGGTCTCCATAAGGGCCCCACGCCGACTTCTGAGGGCCTCTTGCGGCTTTTAAGGACACCTCGGTGGTCTCCAAAGGCCCGTTAAGCCTGAAACAGACTCTTTCCGCAGTCAGGAAATCGCATGCGAGAGCCTATTCAAATACATGGAAGCACGCTCGCATCAACCGCACGCACCTCCCGCGAGCGATTGATGCGAGAGGAATTACAATGTTTTTGAATAGGCTCTCGCATGCGATTTCCTGAGCGCGGAAAGAGTCTGCTTCAGCCTTTACTGGCCTCTGAGAGGTCTTACCGGCCAATGAGGGAAAGTTCTAGGTTCATTTCCCACCTGTGATGGTCCCACACTTATTTTTCTGAGGGCCCCATAACGGCAACTATGGGGCCCTCGTCGGTGCCTATGAGGGCCCACACCGGTGTCTCTGAGGGTTTCACACCCCCAACTCTGAGTGCCTACACCAGTGCCTATTAAAACCCTATATCGGCGGCTCTGAGGACCCACCCAACACCTGCGCATCTAAAGGCCACCCACTGATGACTTGAGGGCCCCACAACGGTGACCCTGAGGGCCCCACCGGCGTCTGACAGTACCATGCCGGTCTCTTAGGACCCCGCAGGACTTCTTCTGCCGGCCTAGTAATAAGGACCCCTTGCCGGTCACTGAGACCCCCTGCCGGCTTGTAGAGAGTTCGCGTCAGCAGCTCTAAAGGCCCCACACCCGTCTGTAACGGCTCTACACCAGCGTCTATGAGGGCCCGGAGCAACGCCTGTAAGGACCCTCATCGGCGCCTCTGAGAGAATCACACTAGCACCTCTGATCGCCCACACCGGCACCTGCATGGCGGCCCCACACCGGTGCCTCCCTTACCGGCGGCTCTGAGGGCCCTACGCCGATGATTCTGAGGGTGCCACCGATTACTGAAGGCACCACACAAGCCCTTAGTGTAGCTGAGCTTTAATCCCATACCGGCCCTCCGAGGGCGCCACGTCAGTGCACTCATTGCCCCACACCCCTCCCTCACACCCGGAGCGGGTAAACTGTGTTATACCTATAGCAACGATTTTACCACCGTTGTACGTTATGTATTTCTCAAAGTTGACTCAAAGTGGTCCAGTACAAAATCTGGCCTGCCACACTTATGGCCAAGGTCAGGCCCAAACACGTTTTGGGCAATCAGTCTCAGTCCATGACTCCATTCTTCGGCAACTACGGTGCAAGGCCGATACTGTAGAAACTTGCAATTTGTACCCTTGACCTGACCTTGACCTTGACCTCAAACTTTAAATTAAGTGCATGTATTTAGTTATTCGTGATGAGATCTTTCGATTGGCGTTTGAATTTTCCAAATCGGACCAATAGTTCGGGAGATAACAGGGGGGTAAAATTTATCCCCCCCAGCCCCGCGCGTTCGGCTGGAGAGTGGAGAGTGAGACCCCAGCCCCGCGCGGGTTAATGCATTGGGTGAGCCAAAATTGTTTTACAGTGGCGCTATTAAAACAAGCTCTCGAACCGATTTAACATCATTTCTTGCATGATGCCTGATGGCTACAGTAAAAAGAACAGCTAAAAAGAACTACAAAAACTATGGAATGCCTTTCTGAAAGCTACTGAGCACCCCCAATGATTTTTGGAAAACTACACCCATGAACCAGTTGGAGAAAATGTTACTATGGAAGTCACGCGAGCGAGTGCTGCTGGACCAGTTATACACCTCTCTATTCTGGAAAATATGCGACATATTAGTCCTAAAATGCACATCAAATTTGAACAAAATCCGTCGAATCGTTCTAAGATACAGTAAAAAAAAAAAAAAATGGTAAAGGAAAAGTGGCCTCTTACTTCCCGCAGCAAAGTTGTGTGTCAAATTCAGGTACCCGTGTTGTCCATGGTAGGCGGTATCTCTTCGCGCTCCGCGTTGATGAACTGGGGTTTTGCAGGGTTCTGGCGGCGGAGACTGAGCTGGACGAGTCCGAGACCCAGTTTGATGGCGTGGTTGGCGAGACTCCACCGATGCGTCTGATTCGTTCTCCGGATGCATCACAGTCTGTGATCGTCGGAGATGGAGTTGGCGTGAGGTAATTATCAAATTGTGTTTATCACGCTGGTCTGGTCGTTCTTCGCTGGGGGATGTTAAATGAAGGCGTTCCGATATGTGACAACTGACAAGGTAGTTGGATTGTCATGGATATTGATTGTCATGTAGGCATTCATGTGTGCATACATTTATTGTATGCACACATGAATGACAATATGGCAATATGCCTGTATCTTGCACATGCTCGTATATTGCTGGATTAAATACTGACCCCTGCCAACAATCTAAGTCGTTTTATAACTTAAGGGAAAATTTTAATGACGGTAATACTTTTCATGTTTGTTTTTACAGTGTTCTTGGAAGGGAAGACTGCGTGGTCCTGGATGCAGATCCGGAGTCCGTGATGGACGAACTGCTGAGGTCCCAGACTTCAATGTCGGCCACGGAAGGTGCTGTTCCGAAGACTGGACAGGGAGACGCTCGAAACGCAAGGTCAGCATGTCTGGTTTTCTGCTTGTATAAACTTGTTATGCCAGCACGGACAGGAAAACAAATATTAACGTGGAATATGTGTGGTTGATTTAAGACTTAAGAGTATCTCGCTATGCAAGGGTATGACGACCATCTTGAGATCATCGTGTTTAAAAGGATTGAAGGATATATTAAAAAGTTATTATGTTACACATGTTTGAATGTCTGTAACTTGAACCGTTCACTATGCGTGATGATGAAGTGAACTGAACAAACGCGATTATAAAGACACATGCAAAAATTGTACGTGGCGAAACGAAAATGACGAAAGAAGTGGCTTTGCTAGGCTTCGTTTCAATTGAGGGCTGTGGAGTCGATAAATTTTTGGTGGCTTTAACCCCGACTATGGCTTTGCAAAAAATTCAATCCGCGTTAAATTAGCAACCGACCAATTCAACTTTGACGAAAGAAAGAACAGTCAGTGGAAGGCCTAGCATACTAGTGTCGGTCTTACTTGTTTGTCTGATGTCCGTCCGACCTTCGAACCCTCGCTGTGCCGCTCTCCGGTTATTGGTAACAAAGACTGTCTAATACCCACGCAAAAGCCCAACGAAACATCTGGACAGCCGAAATAGAACACTGTCACCATCTCCGATTACAGTAATAAAGAAGCCAAAGGGTATTTAAAATGTTATTTAAATTATTTTCCGACTTACGGTATTATACCGGCGAAATTTTGTCGAGTTACGACGACACCACGAAAAGAGACCGAATCCTCCGGAGTTAGGTTCGATAGAATTTTGCGCTTCCAGCCTCGAGTGACGACTCGGAAAGACTCCGACTCCGACTCTGCAGCACTGTGTTTCACATTTTAGCAAACCCATAATTTGAAGTTGCGAGGCAAAGGCACGAAAAAGTAACGCAAGCCTATATTCATTAACGTACGGAACTGCTATGTAACTTGTAATGGTGTATTTTTCAGCCTCCTCAACGTTGACCGGCTGACGCGCAGCACTCGAGAGAAGCTTCTGGGTGGCCAGACGTTCGGCCGAGGTGACTGGTCGGCGCTGACTTCAGCGGTCTACGAAGAAAGCCGAGCCAGGAATGCATAGTAAGCTCGATGAACTACGCGTGTTCATTACTAAGATGAATACAAGTTGCGCTTATCATATTAAGGTGGCCATCCTTACAGATAAATGATTTATATACCTTTTGGCAAGGAGGACGTGATGATAAAACATGTAAATGATATGATCTATCAAAAAATTAATTTGGGGAACGGTGCTGCCACCTGCAGGCATACCTGTATCACTATTAGTTCGATACTCGCCACCAGAGGCAGATTGACGAAAAGGGTGCGGGATGCGGATGTTACTGAACGCTGTTGCCGAATCAGTTGAGTTAACACTCGCCCGCACACGCCTATTTCCCATCCTAGAACGCACAGGGGGGGGGGGGGTGCCAAATTTCAATTTTAAACACTGTATCGTTAATCCGCGTTCCACCAATGTTTTCTGAGATAGCACAGGTATAGTTATATTCCCCCTCCCCACGCAGCGAAGGGTCCACCGAAACTCTGTAGCACTAGAAATACTTTCCATGGACTACCAATTTTCTGAACCTCCTTTCTATGGCCACTCTGGAACCCCGCCACTTGCGTTTGGTCGCTATGGGTCTGTTACGCCTTCCTCCCGTCCTCAGCCGAGTTACCGATTCGCCTAACGTGGAGAGCGGTGCCGGGGTGCCTACTGCGTACTGATTATACCAACTGCACGTCCCATTGTCCTTTCATTTCAGCTATCCTTCCAACTACCTACCAATGGCAAGGGATATTCTCACTGCCTTCCCGAGCCTTCGCGAAGAGCTTAGTGATGTGAAAGCCACGGTAAGCCTATAAAAATGCATACAACGTATGTATTCCTTCATGGTCATGTGTCCCATCGTTTCCGCCGATTGGTTTTAATTAGTGCGCAATAGCAATGTTCAGTTCGATCAGCTCCCTCAGATCACATCACATGATTTTAGACACTATTTTTATTCTCGCTATCGTCGTTTTCTTTATTGTATCTCAGTAAATTTTATCTCAGTAACTTTCGGTGTATATGTTTCTCAACGAAGTATCATTGATATCGTTGTATATGTTATAGGCAATGTGTGGAATCAGGCATTCTATAGAATCCGTAGGCATTCTATAGAATCCCTAACCGCTTAGGGATTCTATAGAATGCCTGGCTTAACCCGCGCCCCGTAGGGGTATCGGCGGACCCTACCACCCGTAGCCCCCTAAGATCTCGGAAATTTACCGGCCGATTTTCAAAACTCAAACGGCGTTCGATAGCCCCACCGGGGAACTACCTTGTGACCAAATTTCATTGACCTAGGTCAAACCGATGACGTCACAGGTCAGGTCAAAGGTCGGATTTTCACCGTTCACAGGCATTTCAAGAAATGTGTTGTAAAATCGATAAAATTGGTAAGTTATTGAAAACCATCGATGTACATTGTTCGTCAAACACATACTTTGCTATCCGAGGTCACTGATACCAGGTCAGGTCACTGGGGGTCACAATATGAAAGTGTCGTGTGATACATGTTTTATGGTCCATTTTACATGACAAATGTGATTATGTGGGTCAGGCAGCCTTTGGGGCCAGCTTAGGTCACGTTTTGGTGAAGGTCAGGTCAAGGTCAGGTCAAATTAGGTCAAATTTCAAAGTTGATATTTTTGCATAAAATGGGATGAGTCGATGCCTGATTCCACACATTGCCTGTAACATATACACTCATAATTTCCTACCGATGTACATATGTGATGGAGATAGTGATACGCCAGGAGGAAAATGTTTTACAGCTCTGGTTCCCTTATAGGAACTCCTTGCCGCGAGGCTCAAATCTAAGTTCAAGAACCAGCGGAAGCGGTGTGGGAGCCCCATCGTGGTAGAACTGAGGAAGCAGCATGCCGACAAGCGCCACAAGTCGGACTCCCTGCTCCCCGGGTACTCACCTCCCGTCGAAAACCCGTCTCTTGACGATCAGCGATCCATCAACCGCATGTGTAATGCGCCAGACGTCTCAGAAGAAGACGTCAAACGGCTGATGGCGTCTACATTCGCGGTGCGCCGGCAGGAGGTCATCAAGGGCACTGCCATGCGACGCCTTCAAAAACGGTTTCCAAAACTGTTCTCGCAGGAGCAGGTGAGTGCCTATAAGATGGCTGGAAGTGTTTTTACTGTTAGTAAAATCGAAAACAACATATATTAAATTTGGTTCTATGCTAAGACCCTAACGGCTATCAATACATTATTTCCAATTTGGCCGAGTATATTATATTCAATTGTTATTGCGAGCCGTATACCACAGTCTGTCGGCTTTAAAGTCTTTAATTGGGACTTTTCACCGAATTCATCGTTGGGGGAGGACGAGAAGGTTGAGGGCCATCGGTTATTTTCACAGTCCAGGCTCGTAACATTCACCAACTGTATATTCATTATTTATCTACGTACACTGCAGCTCTGGACAACGGAGACTACATTCCTCCTCCCGCCCTCCACCCTCCCCCTCCCACCTCATCCCTCCTACCATCCTCTTAACACATGGTACAGCGCCGCTGCGATGTCTTAATGGCTCTGATGTTCTGCTAGATGAATTTTATGTTGCTGAAGTGCGGTGCATTTTTTTCCAGCTCTGGCTGGAGATGGGACGCATCACGGGCACTGAAGACGCGGATGGATTCAGAGAAGCATGCTTCCGCCGCCTCGATACCTGGCTGGATCGTGTGAAAGAGAAAACCGAGTGCCAGCCCGGTAGGTAAACTGTTGTACCTTGCACCCATGATGTAAATGTCCCTACTTCTGATAGCCTCATCCCAAGCAAGTCAAGCTTCGTGTCCCTGTGTCCAAAAAGGTCGAGGCAAAACTGGTTGAAAGTACATTAGAACATAGTACGCCGTATGCTGCACATGTTAACCCGCGCCGGGCCGGTGCTCCGCGACTTCCGCGCCGGGCCGGGGGTCGCGGAACACCCCCCCGTCTAACTCGGCTCCTGGGCCACGTAGCGACACGCGGTAAGCGGCATTCGAAAGAGCGTCAAAAATAATGACGGTAACACTTACGCCATTTTTTGGGTCAGGTCAAAGGTCAGGTCACCAGAGGTCATCAAAGGTCAAATATCGACACCTTTTTTTAACCCCACATCTGCTCTCCCGTGAATTTCCGGGAGGCACGAAAGATCTCCTTTTAAAAGTGTCCAATCGTCCGATCCTGATCATATATGTGTTTTCGTAGGCCTGTTCTGGTGTTGCTTTATCTGCCAAGACAGACAACCTTGAGAAAAATCGAGTGATTGTACCTTTTTTGAAGGTCTCTAACCAACTTGTCTGAAATTCACCGGAGAACAAATGTGGGGTTTAAAAAAGGTGTCGATATAGTCAATTTCAACAATTTTGGAAACTGCCAACCGCTATCTCGAGAACGAAAAGAGCTACAGTGCCGCGAAAAAGCGCATTCGATAGCCCTTTTACAGACCTTTCTGAGTAATGTTCAGATTTGACCTGAGGTCAACGGTTTAGCCTCCAGAGGGCAAACACTAAAAAAAACAGTTTTCACGAAAAGGTTTTTCGTTACTAACTTTTGATTCGAGCTAGCTACGACATTACTTTTGCTACCATCGTGTTCCTCCCGTAGGGACGCGTCGAATGAACTATTCGTTGACCTTGAAAGGTCATTTTGAAAATTTCACCTCATGCCAAGGTCATGACCTGACCGGAAAGGGTCATGCTGCATACGGTCGATCCGTATTGTCGAGCTGAATACATCTGACGTGTTTTCATCGCCCCAGCACGTCTCTATCAAAAGTTATCGCCAAAAAAACTGCTGGTGACCGTTCATGACCTGAGATGACCTCAGAGGCAGACAGAGGAGTCACAGGTGCAATTTTCCGATTCAGTGTGTCAATTTTACCTACGAACTGATGTTTGAGAGGGTTTTGTACACCATAGGTCAAAAAGAGGCACATTTAAATTTTCTCCCATTGACTCTTATTTAACCCGCGCCCTGCTGGGGGGAGGGGTGGGGCAGAATCTGCCTCCCCTCCCGTTTTTCGCCAATAACTGCTAAACGCGTTGCGCCAGCGACGTCAAACTTTCAGTGCCTTATCATACATCAATTTCACAAGTTCCCTGTAAATTTGAGCGAAATGCGTCGGATTTTTTTTTTAAGAAAATGACGTTTAAGTGACGTCATGTCACGCCATTTTCGCTTCGAAAACTGCAAAGTTCAAACGCCGCTAACATCTTCATTTTAAAGGAACCAAGACGTAACAAAAAAGGTCATACGTTATTTTACTTTGTCTATCAAATGGCTATCTCGTTTTTTTGAAAATCTTGGATTTTGCCCCAAAAGTTAAAAAAAAAAAACTGTTTTTTTGGAAAATTCAATATGAAATCCAAAATTTTGTGTTAATCGAAAAAAACGGAATATATGTTAGAGAAGTGGTCTATGTGCACATACATACCAATTTTTAGAAGAATCTGTTAAAAAATGTGGGAGTTATTCAAACTTCTATGACGTCACGACACACAAAATTTTCGAAAAATGATTTTTTTTGGAACTTCTTAACCTGATACGGAAACAAAAATAGCACCATTCGATTGGCCGTGAAAAACTGCATCAGATAGACACCTTTTTAGGTCTTAACAATCAAATTCAAAATTTGACATCACTTTACCTGACCTTGACCTGACCTCGATCTGAAATTCATCCAGATGTGCTCCATATCACTAATTGAGTGTGCCCATTGAATTCTATGAATAAAGTAACCCATAAAACATGTGTCGCACATGCCCTATTCTATATTTCGTATTTGGTGACCTGACCTGACCTTGACCTTTGCATGACATTGTATGCAACGCGTCTTGTCTTGGTAGCCTAAGAACACGTTTTGGCAATCAGTCTCAGTCCATTCTTCGGCAACTACGATGCAAGGCCGTTACTGTAGAAACTTGCATTATGTACCCTTACCTGACCTTGACCTGACCTCTGACCTACTAAAGCAAAAAAAAAAAAAAATCGGCCCTTAACCGTATTAGTGGCAGGCTCCTGGCTACCCCTATTAGTGGCAGGGGGGCTGTTTACGACCCCCCCCCTTGATATCTCGAGATCTAACGGGCCGATTTTCAAAATTCAAACGGCATTCGATTTCGCTCAACGTGATCTACATTTCTAAAAAATAAAAAATAAAAAATGTCAATAGGGGGGGTAGAGGGGGGTAAAAACGGGCAAATTGCAGATACATTTTAGACTGTTTATCACGGCCAGGTTTCTGAACCAATCTTAACGCAACTTTTGCCGATCGATAGAGAATGAACCAGGAATTCACATGGATCCTAAAAATATGCATTTTCAAAAATCATAGGCGGATACAGATCATTGAGATTGGGGGTACACAAAAAGTATAGTAAATAAGGTTTTTGTTGGTACTGTTTCTAAAAAGGGTGGTGATGGTCTTGTTATGTTACAATTTTCTTATGAGAGAACGACTAGAATTGTATTGGTCATGCATAGGCGGTGTCAGGGCACCTATGTTGGGAGGTAAAACATAACCCCCCTTTTTGGACGCCTGGATCCGCCTATTATAGCAAAAACGTGTCAAAAGAGGATGCACAATAACTGTATATGTTATCACATGATACCTTTCATTCACTGTTCGTAAAACTGGTGCAGCATCGTGATCTTCGCCCAAATGACTCGCTTCACGAATAGGACCCCCCAATTCCCAGTGCTCTGGAGCCGCCCCTGGTTAAGTTATGAACTTGAAATTTTCAGGGTATGTGCCCAATTTAGGTTTAGGAAAAGTCAGAAAATTTCAGCATCGTAGCTTCAGCGGTTTCGGAGATATTCCCGAAAAACCTGAGGGGTGGATAAAAACAACCCCCCTGCCACTAATAGGGTTAAGATCTGCCTTCTTGAGAGCTTTCGATAACCGTTTTCCCCGTCCTTCTACGACCATCGGTTCGGAAGTTAGACAGGGGGCAGAATCTGCCCCCCCCCAGCTGGGCGCGTATGGCTGAATAGCCCAGCGGGGCGCGGGTCAATGGAGAGGTCGCAAAATTGACCTGACCTTACGAGTAGGTCACCAATATCAAAATTCCGAGATATACATTATACATTGTGCACATACTGTTACTCTTATCATCGCTGAAAGTTTCAAGGCATCCACAGTGATGCAAATGGGGTTCCTGATTGGCCATAAATACTAAAAAGTCTAGTTTACCAAACCGAGTAAATCGCGATATGGCCAACCAAAGAAATGTTTAGGGCATCTGAAATCACATAGCTTTAATGTTTTTGTCAAAACCGGCCTCGTGCATGATTGTCAGAAGTCGTGACATTTTCTATGTCGTAAAATGCCTGTCAGGTACTTGCAGGTTCAAACGCCGCTAGCGTGCCGCGTTCATTTCATACAAACTGCAAAAATTATACACCGCAATGATCCCTAAAGCCTGCTGCTTCTAATGCCGGGTCACAAAAAGCCGTATCTCTTTTGGTTTGGCGGTGAACTAACCATCTGTCGTGCTGCAATCGCAGTTTTTTACTTAAAATTATTTGCTTTCGTTTCACCTACAGTAGTCAACATAGTGTGTGCCCCTTAGTCCACTTAGTCTTAGCCTTCTCCAATCATTTCTGAGCCGCACCGTGAAAGAATTAAGGCGTTAGCACAGGGCAGACCGGCGCTATCGAAGTTTTTGTCCGGCGCGGTCGGGTGTCGCGGTGGGCGGCGGGTGGGCGGATTGCTTTCACTACAGATTCGCAATTTCGACAGACGTTTGACTTTGACCTGCTACAAGTGGGGCACATTGGCGTGCATACCCCAGCGGGACACTGGCTTAGATCAAGAATATATCAACTCTTCTCATTGTGCTTTTGCGTATCATTCTATACATGAACCGCGCCACCCCCACCCCTACCCCCCTCTTCTCCCACCCCTCCTTAGCTGTTTGTGGTGCTTGTCTGTAGATGGCCTTTTTCATTGCGAATGCTTGCTAGTCACGCCATTCAATTATCGGCAGATGAGGCGGTGGAGAACCTGCTGTACCTGGCCAGAGAGGTGAATAGCGTACTGCATGTGGAGGAAGACTCCGGTGAGCCAAATGCCTCGCAACCAACCATGGTCATGCGGGGAAATAAGATATCACTGTACGTAGAAGGGAAACACATCCTCGAAGGGGATGCGGAGGACTCTAAAGAGTTCCTCCTCCTGTGGGGCATAGCCTTCTATGTTTTCAATCAAAAAACAATGCGGAAAGTAGCCAACACAAATTGGTTCCTGCGCTCCAAAATATTCATGCTCAAGGAAGAGCGGACGCCAAATCCTGCGGTGGTGAAAGAGTTCGCGAAGATGGCGGAGTAGAGATCCGGGAGGAGATGGGTATACGCGGATGAAAGCGAAAGCGCTTATCTCACTTCTCCGCGCTGTGACAGGGCAGTCAGCCCGATGGTTTGTACAGAAAGTCATATGTTCCCGAGTGCTGTTACAGCATTTTATGTGATGTGATGCTGACAGTGAAGACAGTCTCATAAATGCTGCTTTCATGGTTCCGTTGCGCCATATCGGTGTAAAGAAAGCGTCATGGTTTTGTCGAAGGAGTCAATGTCACATTTGAAGTTGAAAATGTGAATAAATTTGTATGTTTTCTACGAGGTCTGTCTATGTACGAGTTTTTGACCGTGGTGCGAACGAGGGGGGTTGCGGAGGAGGGAGTAATGGAGTGTTGCGTGG